TTAACAAATCAGAAAAACAGAGTTTTAATTCTTTAGTATTATGTATTAAGAAACCTTTATTTTCTTACGGACAATTATACGTTGCTTTATTAAGATGTAAGAATCCAAAAAGAATTTTGATTCAAATTGCATCTAAGAATAAATCAGAAATTAAAAATATTGTTTAGCTAGAAATTTTTCAGTTATTCAAAAATATGTAACTTTGAAGATCGCCACATAAAAACAGACGTATGTTAGTTCATAAAAACCATGAAAAACAAATATGTAAAAAATGTGGAAAGGGTTTTAAAAGAACAGATGGGTTAAAACGACACTTGAAATGTCACAACATTAAGCTAACAGAATAAATTGTTGTTTCAAAAGCTTAATTGTGTTTGTCTATTTAATTATACCTCCTCCTGAATTCTGTCTTTTAGTTAATAAAGTCCTCAGGTAATCAAGAATTTTATATTTGGGTAAAGTATACATGGACCAGAAAGAGATTTGTAATGTAAAAGTTTAATCAAGTTAAACAAATAATAGTACTTCAGAGACATATAGTGAGTAAGCGGAAGCGAATAGACAGAGGAAGACCTATGATCAGTGACTTAAAAAACCCTAAAAACGAGGTATAACTTGGATACTAAATTGAGTATATTTTTTTACATTTATGATGGTAAAACATTTGATAAATAAGTATTTTATGGGGGGAAAGTGGAGCGGGAGCTGCGGGGGAGCTGAGGGGGAGCGGGGGGAGGCTGAGACTCACTTTCGTAAATACAACTATAAAATATAGGGAGATATATATACATACACACATGTACATATATGTTTATATATATATATATATATATATATGTATAGATTTATTACGTTCTAGATTATAATTATACTACTTATAGCTTTAATATGTTTATAATGTCTGTTTATAAGTTCAGTGAGTTCGCTACAGTCATGTGATGCCAATTTATTACCAGGAGGATGGATGAGTGAATTTGGTGATATGAAATAAATACACACTTATTCGCGGGAAAAAAAGACTAAGCTTGCCTAGGCATAAGAAGCTTCACGGAACTGGAGAGAAAGCCTGGGAAATTTGACAAGTTATTTGCACAAGGAAAGGTAATAGTACATAGACAGGAAAGTGCTTCTAAAAAAAGACAAATTGTGCAATAGTGATTTTAGAGAGAGAGAGAGAGAGAGAGAGAGAGAGAGAGAGAGATAAAAATTACATACATATTACATGTATCTTTCGCACACGTGAAGTCACGAGGATCCTTTTATTTAGCGCCAAGAGAGCTCTCTTACATTAAATATCGCAAGTCATCGGTTATAAACTGAACACATCGCAGAAAGCTACCAATTCAACCAACCGTCGTTTCCTAATTAGCTCGCCACGCTGTAGAAAACGAGCCCAATCTCAGCTCACCCTAGTCGCTTCCACACACCGCTGATTATAGAACCCGAGCGACGAAGGTTTAGGTTAAGGCCCGGTAAATCAATAACATAGGTCACGGTGGATGACCACGCTACACGCGCGTGATGCCTCGCACCTTCACATAAGGTCACCAAGATAAAATAAAGTCACGATGTTCCACACTTTCTTCATTCAAAGAACGGTACAATTTTCGCAATAGATGTTCACGGTTTCCGGTGTACTCACACACGTACCCGCAGTGAAATGCTCATTCATACGTTAGGTAGTATCTCTACTTCCTTGATTAAACATCTGTGTTGATCGATCGTGAAAAGGACGCACGGCACTCGATCAAACCCTCTGCTTCTGAACCATGCAATAACGTCCGGTCTGAAAGGCTACTACTTAGATGCTCTCGCTATGCCTGCTCGAGTCACTCTGCCTCACACATCCGCCTGTACGGTAAAACAAGATTCCAAATCGCCGTTACGTAGCGCCCTCTATCTTTAATCAGATCAAATTGGCGCTAAGTTTAAACTTATACAAAAATGCAAAAATTATCCGAACAATATCAATTAAATAATATATATAATATTCATTGCAAGTAAAACAAAATGCAGCATTATTATTGTTGAAGTTAAGTATTCTGTATTATTTTAATGTAGATTATGCAACAAACATTAACTTTCATAGAATTTGTAAAAATTTAAGTTTTAGTTTTCGCTGCACTGTAAATATTAATACTGTTTTTAACGTTCCAGATTAAAACAAGTTATCAGTAAATATTCAATAAACTTAGTTGATTTTTTCTTTAACAAACTTATAGTTATATTTAATACTGTTTTTTATACCTAAATTTTTCACTTATTTCGAATTTAATTTAGAACTCCTGTAAATGATTACATTATTTCGCTAGGAAATTTTTTTTATAATCTTATTATATCTTTATAAAATCAGTATTCTAAATGATTATAGCTAAAAATTTAGAATTTATAGGTTAAGATTTAATATTAAATCATTTTTTTACAGTTCACGTATGATTTGTACTTATTTTTTTACTCAGTAAAGAAAGATATCTGTTATCTTAATTATAATTTGAGTAAATGTGTAACGTATTATATTAGTCGAACAATATTAATCTGCTTACAATCAGCATATTTATCAACAGAAAAATAGCTGTAAACATCAAACAAACTCCTTAGCATCTGCCCTTGGCCCATAACTGCGCATGCGTGCGCAAGTCTAACGCACTATTCAAGACGCAAGCCAAAAATACCTCCGGGACCAAATTACATTTAGTGGGACCGAATTAGCTGAAATGTCGATAATTTTTCATGAAATTTAGACTAGCTCGAAAAAATATGTTGTAGAGAATTAAACAATGCCAATCGATTGTAATAAAATCAAACAAAAAATATTTTCTGCTAAGGCTTCAGAAAAAATGGCAAAAATGGTAAAACACGGTTTTTAGCGTTGGAATTGGACAATAAGCTTTGAAATAAAAAACAAAAAATGTAGGAGTATGCGTGGAAATAAGACAAACAAAATGAGCTACAGTCTATCCCAATTGATCCAGTGTTTTCCTCGCAAAATGCAAAAAAACCTCGTACTTTGAGCCAATATTAAAAAATAAATAACTCTTTCGCATAAACACTAAGAGCTGAAAGTTATATGAGTTGTAGCTTTAGTAGTCTTCAACAAACACACCATATTTTAGCAAGATCGAATCAATAGTTTTTGCCAACCAAAGCTAAATGCAAAGGTACTTTGGCAAAAGGGCCTAAAAAAAGTTGTTTACAACATTACATGTAATTTTTTCGCTGGATCATATTCTTGAAGACTTACTCTACAATTTACAAAAGTATCAAATTTTTTTACAGAGTGGAAGTAGCTTAAAAAATGATAAACCTAATGGATATTTTTTGCGCACGGCGGTACGGCTCGTGAGGGGCAATGAGCCGCCGAGCCGTAGCCACCGATGCATAAACCACGTTCACTGTCTCAAGCTTGACTCCAGTGTTATCGACCGAGTTCGGTTGAACTGCAAGTGCTCTTAAAAATCTTAGGAACGATATAACCAACTTCCACACTGTTAAAAAATTTGATACTTTTGTAAATTGTAGAGTAAGTCCTCAAGAATATGATCCGTCGAAAAAATTGCATCTAACGTTGTAAACAACTTCTTTTAGGCCCTTTTGCCAAAGTACCTTTATCTGCATTTAGCTGCGGTTTGCAAAAACTATTGATCCGATCTTGCTGAAATTTAGAGTTTTTATTGAAGATTTCTAAAGCTACAACTCTGCAAAATTTCAGCTCTTACTGTTTGTGCAAAAGAAAATTATTAACTTTTTAAAATTAGCTCAAACAGAGAGGTTTCTTACAGTTTGCGGGGAATAACACAGGACCATTTGGGATCGACCGGAGCTCATTCTGTTCGTCTTATTTCCACGCATCCTAAGTATTTTTTATTTTTTATTTTAAAGCTTATTGTTCAATTCCGACGCTATGAACAGTGTTTTACCATTTTTGCCACTTTTTTGAAGCCTTAGCGGAAAATATTTTTTGTTTGATTTTATTTCAATCGATTGGCATTGTTTAAATCTCTACAGCATATTTTTTCGAGCTAGTCTGAATTTCCATTAGCGAAAACTTAATTTGATCTCACTAATTTTAAGGCCTTAGGCTCCGGTTACATGGGGCGAAATTAGCAAGCGGAACGTAACAGCGGAAACATTTGGGCCCTCAAAAGTGATAGAGGTCTGTAGCAAGATAACGTCACATACCTCTCTCTCACTCTCATGGGCTCAAACGGTACCGCTGTAACGTTCCGCTGGCAATTTCCGTCCCATGAAATCGCGGCCTAAGCCGTTCCAGCAATGGATCCCAGAGCTGATCCAGCTGGGTACCTACGGCCCCTATGGGGGCTGGACTAACATTTCCGGGCAGGTCAAATGCCAATACCTTAACTGTAATCATAGATTATTTATAGATACTCAGCAAACATTTTATTTAAAGACCAGCGTTGCAGATTCCAATTTCACAAAGAAAAAAAAAATTTTTTTTCAACTTTTTTAGAGTTAGAAAATTACAGAAACTGCATGCACAAGTTATCATTTAAAAACGTTGGGCAAAGTTGCGAAATGAATTTTTCTTTTTTGGCAGGGTACATTTTTTTGTGGATCATTTCCAGGTTCCAGCAATCGTCTCAACACTGCCACAAATGACCCTTACCTGTGACAATTTGGAACTTTCTATCTATTGGTCAACGTTGCAGCTGGTATTTAGTATTAACCAGATCGCACTTTTTGCGTTACAATATAACTTGGGCTCAGCTTATAGCCTATCAGCATGGTAGTAAATACTTGTCTTAATTTAATCAAGCTCACAGAAAACCTTAAGTCGACTGTTGTGGAGCCCTAAAAGTTATGGACTGTATGAAATAGGCTATCAACCTTTAAAGTTTACATATTTATAATAATAATAATAAATATCATAATAAAAATCAAGTTTTTACAGGCAGTATTGAACATCGCTTTAAAATAAACATAGAAAAAGTAGAACTTCTTATATCAGACTGATTTTACATAAAGAATGTGAAACTTACTTATTGATGGTGGACAAAAAGATTTTATTTGTCAGACAAAAGGTGCGAATACATCTAGCTCTGTAAAGGAACATATCTCTTTGTGCAATACTACGTTATTTAAATACTTATTTTAATCCAACATTGTACATTAAATCCAACCCTTTACTGTGGTCTCACCATGTATAATTCAAGTTTAATATTTTTACAAAAGTCCATTTATATTCAGAAAACTAATAATTAAATTAGTATTTTTTTAATTAGGTAATTTGATTACAAAATAAAATTAATTTCCAAAAACTTTGTTTCTGGACTTTTACTTGTATTCTTAACCGTTCTGCGTCAGTAAGTCATGTATGTGAATGAGAACTTATCTACACATTACAATGTAAAAGTCATTTCAGACTATCACTATTAATAAGGCTTGCATTTCAAATTTAATATTATTAACATTTTCATACATTTTTAATAAGTTCGAATATGACCATCGTAATAAGTCAGATATTTCGATATTTGTAAAATTTAAAGGCTATGGCACAAAACTTTGGCCCGTTATTCGCTGTAAGAATGGCAAGGGTGCCCTCAGCCCTCAGCTCAGCTCCTGGCCAGTGCTTATGCAGCTATTCACATCATAGAGATATTATAGATATATATGTATAATATCTCTATGATTCACATGGGCATTTTTTGCTTATTTCATTGTGAACGTGTGGGGACTCTCTCACACACATTGTGGGATATGTGTCAGCCGGTGGCTGATATGTATATATATATATTTATGGCAGGTTGCTTGGCAGTCCCACGTCTGCCGTGTTCACGTGTGTCCGGGAAAGGATATAGGCCCGGGCAAGGAAGAAGACGTTATGTATAACAAGGGAACAACTTTTAATTAATATAAGACTAGTTACATGTGTCTCGTGGACACGAGCTATAGGTATAGCTCTGACGCTGTCGATCGAGCGAGAGACCAAANGGCCATGTAAGTCGAGAGCCGGAATGGCTGCTCGATGGGCGAGGTGAAGAAAAACGCCTTGTGCCGTTGCCGTAGTCTGTGGTGTCGCTCACTCGACCCGTCTTCTTCGCTATCTTCGTGGACGTTCGGGGTCACCGATGTGGGATATGTGTCAGCCGGTGGCTGATATGTATATATATATATTTATGGCAGGTTGCTTGGCAGTCCCACGTCTGCCGTGTTCACGTGTGTCCGGGAAAGGATATAGGCCCGGGCAAGGAAGAAGACGTTATGTATAACAAGGTAACAACTTTTAATTAATATAAGACTAGTTACATGTGTCTCGTGGACACGAGCTATAGGTATAGCTCTGACGGTGTCGATCGAGCGAGAGACCAAACGCGACTGACTTCAACGGCGCAACTACGCAGCGCGGCTGCTGATGTAAGAGAGACGCGAGCAGTTAGGGAATTTTCCCCACTCTGGTCCGGTATCAGTCAGACGGAACGGAAGTCCCCACAACATGTACACTTCGGCTCTCTGTCCTTCTCCAACCATTCGCTAGGTGTCTAACCATTGAACTCGACTTTTTCGCAAGTGCCCGGATTTCATGTTGGTTAATATATATGGGCGTTTAAGATTGAGCTAGGGTATCCCCACCGATATAGGTGTCTAAGGCAGGGAGCACGTCATCAGCCTTACTGATGAGCCCTGGCGTGCTCCCGGGACGAAACATCAAATAATCTTTTCTCTCTCAAGTAGATGACTACATTTCCTACAAACGTTCATATTGAAAAGGGGGTTCCACTTTTCCGCTAAACTCAAAGTAAGTGAACAGACTGAACAGACGTATACATCTTTTTCCATCAGGCAACAAAGCCAGAAAGCCTATGGTCGCAACTATGTTGACTGACAGAGAACACAGTATAAGTCTGTTCAGTCTGTTCACTCAATTTTAGTTTAGCGGAACAGTGGAACCCCCTTTTCAATATGAACGTTCACAATGGAATAAGCAAAAAATGTCTATGTGAATAGCTCCTAAACCACACCCCCTCTCCCCCAGCCCAAGAAAGTATTAAAAAGAAAAAAAAAAAATTCAGTTAGAAAGAACAAAAAATGCACCCTCTGATTACACAGTTTGTTTAAATTGAACTCTCATAAATTTTGTAGAAAAAAATTATTACCAGTTACCAAGTTGTCTTGTTTTAAACCTCCGATATCTTTGGAAAACACTTCTTTTTCGATACAACGTTGGCTTATAAAAAATGAACCTTTTCTAATTTAAATTGAGCTTATCTTACATTTGCAAATATTAGCTTAGTTTTTTTATTAACAATTAATACATAATACTGGTCTAAAAGCTAACCTCTTCTCTATCATGTTTATCAACTGCGCATGCGCTCTGATAAAAGACGCTAGTGACATCAACACTGCGACATCCGCGTTGTTTATAGATACTTATCTTTGAATATCTTAAATGTTAAGAATTGTATGGTAAGACATAAAGCGTAAAAGTTATTGAAAATTCAATTATAACTAAGTACCTTTATATCCCATTTAAATAAAAGCAGGCGTACTCGTAGTACAGTTGTTGAAAGTATAAAGAGCCTGCAAGAATACGAGGTATACTATACATCGTATATGGTCTATCAAAACGGTGTGTCTATATGCTCATTTTTTCCCTCCACATATATATGCCAAAAATTGCCACCACTTAATTTTTAACAATTGTAAAGAAACGTTATTATTGTAAAAAAAGTTTGCCGAAGTGGCAGCTGTTTCGGCGTTTGTACGGAGTGTGCCCAAGCTTAGTGGTTAATTTTTGGCTAGTACTGTTAGTCTAATTTGGCCGCCAATGACACTTTCTTTCTTGCTTCTGACAACTTTTAATCTTCTATCCATTAGAGCAGGTCGTGGCTATTTTGCTGTTTGACACCCTAGGACTTTTTTAAAAACAACTCAACTTATTATCCACGATGTAAAAATACAAGGTTTGGCGTTCCAAGGTCTCATTTTCGTGCCGTTCTGCCGCAGCGTTAGGTTAGGCGGATTCAATATCGGAACTTTTTTCCTTGATCGTATGTATAGCTATACGATCCAAGGAGAATGATCCGTCGAGCAGACAGCACAGCAGTGAAGGGGCATTGCCAAAGACGCGCGAAAATTGAAAGTTGTAATATTATAACACAAGTGCCTATCACCCAATGACCCAGGGCGCTAACTGGCCTCTCTATTAAATAATAAGTTATTAATTATTAACTCAAGCGCCTGTCACCCGATAACCCAGGGTGCTTACTGGCCTCTCTATTAAATAATAAAGTATTAATTATTAACACAAGCACCTATCACCCAATGATCAGGGGTGCTAACTGGCCTCTCTATTAAATGATAAGTTATTAATTATTAACTCAAGCGCCTGTCACCCGATGACCCAGGGCGTTTACTGGCCTCTCTATTAAATAATAAAATATTAATTAACAGTACAAGCACCTATCACCTGATGACCGTTGTGCTATTAATTAATAATATATATCGTTTAATAAAGCAACCAGTAAGCGCCTCAGGTCATCGGGTGATAAGCACTTGTGTTATTAATTAATATTTTCTTAATTCATAGAGTGGCCAGTAAGCGCCCTGGGTCATCGGGTGATAGGCGCTTGTGTTATCATTTAAAATCTTATTGTTTAATAGAGTGTCCACTTAGCACCCCAGGTNACCGTTGTGCTATTAATTAATAATATATATCGTTTAATAAAGCAACCAGTAAGCGCCTCAGGTCATCGGGTGATAAGCACTTGTGTTAATAATTAATACTTTATTATTTAACCGAGTGGCCAGTGAGCACCCCGGGTTATCGGGTGATAGGCGCTTGTGCTAATGAATAATACTGTATTATTTAATAAATCGACCAGTGAGCGCCCCGGGACATCGGGTGATCGGCGCTTGTGTTAATAATTAATACTTTATTTTTTAATAGAGAGGCTAGTTAGTGCCCCGAGTCATTGGGTGATGGGCACTTGTGTTATTAATATAACAATTTTTAATTTCCGCGTGTCTTTGGCAATGTCCCTTCACTACTGTGCTGTCTGCTCGACGGAACATTTTCCTTGGATTGTATAGCTATATATACGATCTAGGGAAAAAGTTCAGATATTGAATCCGCCTAACCCAACGCTGCATAGCGAATACATTCACTTACAATCCGTGTGTTCCAGTAGCGCTCTCCGACAACTTACCGACAACTTAAACATGACGCAAGATATCGTAAGACATAATTAGGTTGTCGGTAAGTTATCGGAGAGCGTTACTGGAACACACCCTATAACTCCCACTGTAGTGAATACATGTTTTTGTACATATGTACATGTGCCCTGGCCAGGCCCTAATCATAGCCTGAAGTTGAACTCGTAACACCGTGCGATAATAAACTCTACATTTGAGCCTGATTAAGCCCTGGCACCCTGGCAGGCTGGCAATCCTGGCATCGATGGAAAGCTTGCCTGGCCAGGCCTTGGATTAAGCTTGTCCGCGTTGCGTTGCGTTGGCCACGATGGTCAAAAGTTTGATGCCGATGACTTGCGGTCATTGACCGCAACCTTCAGAGCGCTTCTTTATCAGCACTACTGTCAGCCAAGCTGTTAACTATCGCTGTAAACTATATATAGATATATGCATGTGCGTAAATCAGCGATAGTTCACAGCTTGAAGAAGCGCTCTGAAGGTTGCAGTCGGCATCAAACTTTTGACCATCGCTGCCAACGCTGTTGAGATAACCAAGTCACGCTAGATGGCATGACAAACGCAGCCGAATCGTAGACAAGCAGAAGATAAACACAACTTTGTGTATGTATATATCATAGAAACATAAAAATAGAGTAAGCTATCCCCATCTTACTCTGTACTGTGCGATGATGCACCGCGTGCGAGAAAGAAAGCTGCCGAAGGGCCCCCGGTTAACATGGGATGCGTTCCGTAAGCACTGGCCGTTTATTCTAAGTATTTAGATAATGTGTAGGTAGCTTATTAGTGTAAGAAAGATAACATGTCATACTTTTCCCTTTACATTTGAATATCATCTAGGATACCGAGATATTTGAAGATTAACTGCTGAGGCTTACGGAACGCACCCATGTATAAAGTGGGGTCTTTCGGCAGCGGTCTTTTTTGAACTTAAGACATCATGACGATACAAGGTAATGTGGGGATAGTGCACTCTAATTTGTTATTACTATTGTATATGTACATAGAAATAAACGAGTGAGGCTTCGACGCCTGCGTCCCAAGAATTATTTAAAATTGAACAATTTAATAATTAATGATCAAACGAACTTACCTGTGAGTGAAGTTCGATCACAGTTATATGAAGAGCCTCGTTCGAAGAGATTTTTTATGTAGTACCCCCTTTCCCCGCTAGATTGCACAATTTTTAGAGTAAGTCGCAGACTTTTTTTTTTTTTTTTCCGCGTGCGCACACCCAACAGCGGAACCCGCCGCTGTGCTCCTGCGCGCTCGCTCGCGTCTTCGTCATATTTTAGCTGAAGTTTAGAATTTGTTCTGAGCCGGTGGTGGGATCCGGGTGGGTGT